AAGGCCAGTATATTATATATATATATATATATATGATTATGTGTGTGTGTGTATACACAGTATTATTTCTTATTTTATTTAATTACAAAGAAAATTATTTATTCCGTAGAAATATAAATTATATATATTATATAATTGACAGATTTTCATATGCAATTATTTATGCACGTATATATCTATGAATAAGTTAAATTTTTTAATAATGAATACTGCAATTAGTGATATAAGCTTATTGTAGGCGTTATAAATATATAAGACAATTATATTAGATAAGTAATATAATGGTACACAATAGTATGTATATGGATATAAGTCTATAATGTGTGGTATTAATATTTACTTATATTACATAGATAAATAAGCAACCTAATGTGTTATAGTCCGATGACTATAACTAATATATTATATTATATTATATTAATATAGTTTTAAATAATAAATAGTAAGTCAGCTTTATACAATCATTTGAGAAACGTTCTCACGCTCTCGCGAAGCGCTTATCGCGAAAAGACGCAAACGCGATGAAAATAGCGTTACGCCGACGAAACCCGCGGACCGAAAGCGAAGAATCAACCTGCTTCGCTTGCACCTAGATAAAAAGCGTTGTGAATAAAAATTAGCCAATGAGAGCTTCTCTACATCTTCCCCCGAAAGATGTAGAAAAGGGCAGGAGACCACCGCGAACGGAAAGCGAGGCGACGAAGTCAGTCGCAAACGAAAATCCAAAAAGGTCAAGTCGCTAATTAGAACCTAACTAGGAGTCGAAGACAAGCCGCCAGACAGAATATATAACTATCACTGATCTGACTATCGAGAGCGAGCATACTTAACTAACCACCCAGGTGGGATTACAGAATTAATCCAACTCAAGAAATAAGCGAAATAAAAGATTTATTCAATACACAAGCAAAGTTAATCAAAGTGGAGACGCCCGCCGATCCTAGATCCTCATCCTTCAGTCGACTGAGACCCCAAATTTTCCGTGCCTTCCCGGAGGCACAACATATGCAATGATAGATTTTTATACAAATATTATTAATAAATATTTTTATTATTATGTAACTTTTACAATTGCGTTGGCATACTTTTTATAAGTTGTTTTGGTAACTCTTGCGTAATATAAAAGAAAATTTGCATTTATTTCACAAAATTGAAGTTGGAGGTGTTTACACTATCACAATCAATATATATATATCAATATATATATAATGTTAATACGTATTTTGTTTTACATGCAATTATATTTTGTAAACTGTAAATATTCAATTTGAAAGCTCAAATGTGACCACTTGACTTCAACATCCTTTTAAGTTATTAATAAAGATGTTTTTTTGTAATTTTGAAAAACTATAAAATATTAAGATTTTTCATTTATTGTTAATTTATCTATACATTGTTTAATAAAATTGTAGCTTTTCTTATTCGAATTTTTAAGATTTCAATATGATTGGACTTTGCCTTATTACATTTCTCACTCAGTCTTAATTTTTTTGACAGTGGTGCACCTGAGTAATTAAATTGGAAAGTCTTAATTGATATCAAAGGAAACATCATGAATTGGACGAATCGCAAATCTTTTCAGAATTTATCAAGTTGTCAACAATATAATCGTTTACGCACTCGTAAAGAATTTCATCTTTCTGTAGACAGAACACACTTACAAGATCAAAATAGAAGTAATAATTCCTTAACTTATTCATTTGAAGAAAATCGTTCTTATGTGACTTGTAGAAATTTGGAAAGTAATGAAACTGAAAAGGAATTACCTTCTACCACTTACTTTGAAGAAACGTCTTTAGACTTTTTATCAGAAACGTCAAATGCTCATGATAATGTAGTAAAAGAAATAGTACACGAAGATTCACAACCTCATATCGAAATTGATTGTTTAGAAAACTTTCAAAAGCTTTTACGACAATGCTGCCTGGAAAACAATATAAATCATGTTCAGAGTAAAGCAATTTTAAGAGTACTTTGTATGCATAAATGTTTTCGGAATTTACCACAAGATAGCAGAACTCTTTTAAAAACAAGTCGTGATCGCATTAACTTAGTACCGATTGGCTCAGGTGTATATTGGCATATTGGTTTTGTAAAAACATTAGAAAAGCACCTTTCGTTTTACGTTGCAGATGAAATTCCGCCTGTTCTAGAAATAGAACTTAACACTGACGGTTTGTCATTGAGTAAAAGCAACCCTATGCAATATTGGCCTTTACAATATAGGATCATTAATATTCCTTATTTCAAGCCGGTGATTATAGGTGTATATAAAGGACTTGAAAAACCTTGCAATGTATATAGCTTTTTTAACAATTTTATTGATGAGGTAAAGAAATTAATAATGGACTAGGAGGAATACTAATACGGAATCGTCATATTCCTATAGTGTTTAAAAATTTTGTTGCCGACGCTCCAGCGAGAGCTTTAGTTTTAAATCATTATGGACACAATTCGTATAATCCGTGTTCTAAATGTAAAGTTAATGGCGTCCGACATGAGAATCAAATGGTTTACTTGGGCATCAATCATGAAAAACGAACAAATGAACAATATATATCTTGTGTGGACGAGGATCATCAAAAAGGAAGAAGTCCATTAGAAGATCTTGGAATACCAATTGTCAGGAGTGCCTTTTGAAATTATGCATCTGGTATACCTTGGTGTTACTGTGAGACTATTAAGTGCGTGGTATGATGGCAAATTTGGAGGGAAACTACGTAGCTCAGCGCTTAATGAATTGTCTTCACGATATGTAGAGTTAAACAAGTTGTGCCCAAACGAATTTGCACGTCGTCCTAGATCTCTCGCGAAATTCTCTAAATTCAAAGCAACTGAATTAAGACATTTTCTTTTATATGCAGCACCAATTATTTCGTTCGGAATTTTAGCTGAAGAATTTTATTTCCACTTGCTATTACTTAATGTAGCCATGAGAATAGTCACATCAATTAAATGTTCGAAAAGGCAATTAGAAACGGCTGAGAAATGTCTACAAATGTTTGTTAAACATGCAGAATATCTTTATACAGCGAGCTTTGTAAGTTACAATGTTCATGGATTGCAACATTTAGTTGATGATGTAAAGGAATTAGGACATTTAGAAAATTGTTCAGCATTTGTTTATGAAAATAATATGCCGTTTTTTAAAAAAAATATTAGAAATCATCCACGTCCACTTCAGCAATTCGCAAATCGATTACGAGAAAAAAATTATATACAACATATACCTGAACGTCATCCTGAGAATCATCGCCTTTCAGTAATACACACAAATGGTGTTATTCCTGAATGTATTGCTAATACCAATTTTATACAATACAAAAATTATCAGTCAAATAAATTTAATTTTACAATAGATGATTGCAACAGTTTTTGCAAGATTCGGGATAAATTTATTTGTAAAATTAAAAATATTTTGACTATAAATGAAGATGTTTTTTTTGTAGTACAAACTTTTAAAAATGTTACAATTTTTACAAATTGCCAATTCAATCTTCAACTGTCGGAGTTTATAAATGCAAAGAGTTATCAGAAGACTTACAATTAATCAGCATAAATTATATAACTGCGAAGTGCTATAGTATGCCAAGTTGGTCAGGGTCATTCTCTTCAACTCAGAAATCAGAAAAAAATATTGATGAATATATTGTTTCTACTTTGTTACATTATATTAATTAGTTTTATTCGCACGTTTATGATCGCAAATATTTTATCATATTTGCATATAGATTTAAAATCTGTCAATGTAAATCCTTCAATATATAGTTTATTTTCTTATCCCCACAACTTTATATTAAATTTATTTCCACTAAAAAATTAAAAAAAACTATATGTATATAATATATATATATATATATATATATATATATATATTTGCGTATTGATCCGCAGCGTTATAAAAAATGTCTGACAAAGGTTCAAAATGTAATCGACAAAGACGTACAATAAGAAAGCCTAAAAAGTATTGTACTACAGATTCTGATAAGCCAACGAATAAGGAAAAGGCTAAAAATAAAATATTAGAAGAAATGACAACAGTATTCAGAAATTCTAATTCTGAAGAATCAGATGAGGCATCAAGTCAATCATCTGATAATGAATCTAATTTTTCTACTGACAGTGAGAACGATGTTGAAATGAAGAAAAGATATGAAAGAAATGAACAATTAACTCGGAAAAAAGAAGGAAATCAAGACAAATTAATAAGACCAACTTCCAAAAAAGTAGAAATCAAGTTAAACCAGTCGGGCTTGACAAAAAAAAGAAAAAAAAAAAAACAACATCGGAACAGCTACTTGAACAGCATAGAAATAATAATTTGAACTCACCTGGTTGTTCAACACAAACATTACAAAATAATTATGATCAAAGAGATGATGTGATATGTTCCTCAAATAATCATTCTATTTACGATTTCAACTCAGGGATAATTGCCGAAACAAGTAATTATTTTTGTATTCCAAAAAAATATTTTTAGACACTATATGTTAAAATGATGCAACTTCAGATTCGTCAATTATGTAAAAAAAAATTATTATGTTATACATTAATTTACCTAGGTACTGTTCAAAACAATTCCCCACAAATTAAAATGTGGAATAAATCTACTCCAGCTGTTACTTCAAATTATAGCTATTATGACAGTTGGAACACTAATGATACTGCTTCATCCACATATACACAAGGATTACATACCTCAGGTAAAATATTTTCACACGTGCAATGTATTAAAATTAATAAACTTAAATAAAACACTACATAATAGCAAATTTTTACAGAACCCGCACCGGATAATTTACACATGGACATATTCCGCAATTCTACAATTCTCACAATCATAATTATGGTCATATAAGTTATGAAAATCCTGAAAATGTCAATTTAAATAACTTAAAGACATTGCAAGACTTGAGCGCATCGCAAGAAATATTCTTCCAAAAATTTCAGGAGAAAATGCATACGTTTTGCGAAACTCAGGAACAAAATATTTGAACAAAATTAACAATATGCAAAACTATTTTGATAAAAAAATAGATGAACTGAAAACCTACTTCAATACAAAATTAGATAATTTACAAGTGTAAGTATGCATGAACGTAATTTTCTATTCTAAAAATCTATAAATTTTTATCAAAATTTATCTTAAAAGATAAAAGAAATTGTACAATAAAAAGAAGATAATTTGAATGGATAATAGAAACGATTTTTAGGTTTATGTAAAGTAGAATCCATCAAGATTTATTCATATCCTCTTAAATATTAATTTTGAGTATAAACCGAGCTAAATTATTTTTAGAAACAAAAACGCAAATAATAACGATGGAGCTTACCCAGTATATTCGCTTCCAGAAGGTTTTCCATTAAAAAATATGCAAGAATTTGAAGAGTTCGAGGAAAATAAGGAAAAGCAGGGAGAACTAGTAAGTGGAACAACATGTTTTACTTATACATATTTTGATTATATAAAAATATTAAATATAATATACTTTTAAATTTGCATTTTGCTTTTCGGAATATTAAAATGGTTTTGCTATTTTCGATAATACAAAATACAATATTTTTAAAATTCTTTAACTATTACACAATTATTTATCACAAAATTAAAATTTTTCAGATTCGAAAAGTTTTGTCATATTTTTAATATCTTTTATGGATAATTAATAAATTCCTACTTTAATAATAACTTGCATAATATAACACTACTGACTCTTTAAAATATTTTACAGAGAAATTATTTTATTTGGTGGGGAAATCCTAATGCAAAAGTTGCTTTGAGACAGTACCTTAGATATTCTATCTCAGATGAACTTGCATGCCAATTTAAGTGGGCTAAAAAAAATAATAAGGAAAGTAATGATGAAGAACCGGAAAATGCGGAAATGAACCTGCATCACACAAGACATTATATGACACACGGCTGAGTAAAATGATGTTCCGTAAGTATTCTTATTTGCGAATCATATTCTTAAATAATGATTTTTAAAACTCAACAAATTTTATTCAGAAAAATTGAAAAATACGATCAATTAAAATTAATATCAATCAAATTAATATTTGTCGCTAGTGGTGAAAATAAGCTTAAACGACTTGACTACGACGTAACTAGCAATTTTATTTGATTATTTCACGACGTTTCGACCATTTGGTTGTGGTCCTTTTCAAGTGAAATTTCTACAACATAATGTTACACAATATTTTTTAACATACGAAAACTCATTTAAGTGTTAAATTAATAAAATAAGTATAAATTTTATAAACATACCATCAATTAAACCGAGGTTAACATAACATCACACCGGTGTTATTTGAAATCGAAAGTTAAACGTTAAAAGAGGAACACGTCCCATCGTTATGATGTTAAAAGTTAAAAATTAAAAGAGGAACACGTCCCATCGTTATGATGTTTCGTCAACGACTAAACTTGAAACGCGCCACTAAACAATCTTTATTATTTTGTCGTAAATGTTTGTCAAATTCTCGGTGTCTTTCTGTAGGTTAACTGTATTGCCATGCTTCTTTATGAAGAACATTTCAGCAATCTCTCTCTTTCTTACATGTTTCTCGTTATGTAAAATTGTCGGTGATTTCCAATCAAAGTTATGCCCAAAATCACATCTGTGTTTGCTCAAAACCGAATGATTAGACTCATGTAATTTAATATTGCTGGCATGTTCCTTCACTCTAGTGCATAAATGTCTTTTTGTTTGTCCAATGTATGATGCATTACAATTTTCACAGTTAATCTTGTAAACTACATTCGTTTTAATATCATTAGTTATTAAATCTTTACCTCGTTTTATCAGCCTATTCAACTTTTTTGGCAAACTATAAACGACATTTATGTTAGCACTATTAAGTGACCTTTTAATACTGTCGCTAACGTCTTTAACGTATGGGAGTGGAATTACATAATTCTTATCTTGAGCCGAATTCACATTAACGTTATTATCTAAATCGTTACTCAAACTGTCGTTATTATCCGCATTGTGACCGTTACCATTCCTGTTGTTCTTCAGTACATTAATTCTTTTATTTACATACTTATTAATAATATGATCCGGAAAACAATTATTAATTAAAATGTTCTTTACAATCTCAATATTCGTATTATGAAATTGTTCGTTAGAAAGTAAAATTGCATGGTCTACTAAATTGTAAATCGTATTAATTTTGTACTTAATAGGATGACTCGAAAGAAAATTGATGTATCTGCCAGAACATGTAGGTTTCCTAAACCAATTAGTTGTCAATTTATTCCCATTGCGGATAACTGTAGAATTTAAAAAATTAATAGAAGAATTGGTCTCTATTTCATGTGTGAATTTTAAACGTTCATGATAATTATTAAATGTACTTAAAATTTCATTTATTTTAGAGTTAGGTAAAATAACAAAAATGTCGTCCACATATCTATAAAAAGTCTGAACTTTAAAACTTAAAGAATTTAAACAATTTGTTTCCAAGTCATCCATTACTAAGTCAGCTAGTATCGGTGATAGAGGGGATCCCATAGGGCTTCCATAAATTTGTTCATAATACTGCTCGTTAAATTGAAAACTCGTTGAAGTAAGTATTACATCAACAGCGTATAGGAACTGTTGCAAATTAAATTTAGTTTTTAGACTTATGTCACTCCAACGACCCTCAATTGCAGAAAAAACTAAATCTTTTGGAATATTTGTAAACAACGAACAAACATCTAAGGAAATCATTACGTCATCGTCATTAACCATTGTATTTTTAATAGTATTCACAAAAGTCCAAACATCCTTAACATTAGAATCCGGTTTCTTAACAGACTTAACTAATATCTCATGAATGTAACTGGCAATATTATAAAAGGGACTGCCTAACGATGACACAATGATCCTCAATGGATACCCGCTCTTATGGATCTTCGGGAGTCCATAACACCGTGGTAAATTACCATTTGTGCAATTCAGAAATTTATATGTTTGATCATCAATGATCTCATTATTATGCCATGACTTTACTAACGTATGAAGTTTGTTCGTCAGACGTGTAATCGGATTTTTATTTAATTTTTTGTATGTCATCGAATCACTTAACAATAATTCCATATTAGTCACATAATCATTTCTATTCATAACCACTGTCACTTGTCCTTTGTCAGCTTTGGTAACAATTAAATCTTTATTGTTCTGCAGATATTTATTAGAAATATTAAACGCATCATGAATAAATGTCACTATAATTGATATGTTTACTTTTAGACAGAAATTTTTGTAGTGAATTGGCAATGGATATTCTAGTTGTTTCCAAAGCATCCTCAGGAACATAACGACAATTCGATTCAAAATTCTTTATCACCTCAACAGTATAATTTAGTCGATCGTTCTTATTTGAGCAATGAATCGGTAAGGCAAACGTATCGCCTAAACTTAAGAGTTTAGATACAGTATCAGGTAACACTTTAGAGCTGATATTTATTAACCAGTTGGAATTGTCGATGTTTTCCAACGGATTTGACAATACCATATATTTCTGTTTTATCCTATCAAACTTTTTTATCATCCTACTTTTTATTCTATAATTAAAGTTATTTAGTCGTTGTTTACTTAAACGAAAAAACTGATTTACCACGTTATTAGGTAAAGAATCAAACAATTTTTTCACTATATTAGAGATCTTACACCGAATGAAATTTAGGTTTGTGTTCAAATCTTTAATCTCCAAATTCAACAATCTAACTTGATTATTCTTAACTATAGTTTTAAACCTTCGTTTCGCATAGGCACTGTAAAACTAATTTCAGTCTTTAGGTTCTTGATGTGTGACGGCACAATGTCATATCTTCGACATCGGAGTAAAAATTTTAGTTGGTGGTTACAAGCATAAAAATTCTTCTTGCATTTAATCCATGACTTAAACAAATAGGCGGTCTCGTTATTATATTGTTCAGAGATGTGTTGGAAAAAACAATCCTTCCGTACGTGCTCCATATTTCAGTCCAAGAGCAAAAATACGATCAATTAAAATTAATATCAATCAAAATTAATATTTGTCGCTAGTGGTGAAAATAAGCTTAAACGACTTGACTACGACGTAACTAGCAATTTTATTTGATTATTTCACGACGTTTCGACCATTTGGTTGTGGTCCTTTTCAAGTGAAATTTCTACAACATAATGTTACACAATATTTTTTAACATACGAAAACTCATTTAAGTGTTAAATTAATAAAATAAGTATAAATTTTATAAACATACCATCAATTAAACCAAGGTTAACATAACATCACACCGGTGTTATTTGAAATCGAAAGTTAAACGTTAAAAGAGGAACACGTCCCATCGTTATGATGTTAAAAGTTAAAAATTAAAAGAGGAACACGTCCCATCGTTATGATGTTTCGTCAACGACTAAACTTGAAACGCGCCACTAAACAATCTTTATTATTTTGTCGTAAATGTTTGTCAAATTCTCGGTGTCTTTCTGTAGGTTAACTGTATTGCCATGCTTCTTTATGAAGAACATTTCAGCAATCTCTCTCTTTCTTACATGTTTCTCGTTATGTAAAATTGTCGGTGATTTCCAATCAAAGTTATGCCCAAAATCACATCTGTGTTTGCTCAAAACCGAATGATTAGACTCATGTAATTTAATATTGCTGGCATGTTCCTTCACTCTAGTGCATAAATGTCTTTTTGTTTGTCCAATGTATGATGCATTACAATTTTCACAGTTAATCTTGTAAACTACATTGGACAAACAAAAGACATTTATGCACTAGAGTGAAGGAACATGCCAGCAATATTAAATTACATGAGTCTAATCATTCGGTTTTTGAGCATACGAGCCTTCCATACGAAGACTGTCCACGCGGGGGAGAGAATATGCGGAAACGCAAGAGAGTGGATGGGTCGTAATTTCTCCCAATAGGGTCTCGTTACGTTACTAACGCGACTCGACAATAAACGAATCTCTCGCAAATTTTAAAACGGCCGGCAACCAAGTCCAGCGTAATCTATTAACGATAAATGATTCGGAACCCATCCACCCTACTACCTTAATTCGGCGACAGCAGGATGACCACGTCGTCTCACCAGTCCTATGACGCTCCTTAGCGTCCTCTCCTCTCTCGCTCTCTCTGAGTTGCGCTTCCGTTCGGGACTTCTGCTCTCCTCGGGCGCTCGCTAGACAGTGCCGAACCGGGGGCCCTCAGGAGACACGTCGGTGACCCAATTACTTAGATAGGCCACTCGCGGCGCTATCAGGTCGGCCGCGCGCGCGGCCTCGGTGATCCTTGCGGCCGCGCGCGTAATTATCCTTACCCGCGGAGTCCTGATCCGCGGGTTGCCCCTCGTAGGCGGTCGTCGCGGCAGCGCACGGCAGGGCCGCTCCTTGCTCTCCTTCGGGATTCCGGATGTCCCGGGGGCGGCAGCTCTCCTGCCGGCGCTCCGTATGCGGGGACTCGGGTGCTTGTTGCACCCGAGTGGCCATCCCCTGCTCGCTCCTGGAAGGTACAAATTTTGAGGCAGTGGCACCTACTCCGTTGTCGGATATTTGGTGAAGAAATTTTTGATCTTGGGCTTACCGAGCGTGTTCCTGACGAAGGGGGTCCCCGTCGTCCTGCTTCCCATGCTTTCCTATCTTTCCTCCAGGGTTTCTCTCTCGGCTGAGACTCGTCGCACATCCTGTCTGCCGCCGAAATAATCCTAACTCTCAAAACAAACTCCTAACAACAAAAATATACGAAGACGCGTAGCAGCGGGATCGCGTCCGGTCCCGCGCTTTCGCACGCACGCTCTCTCTCTCTCTCTCGCTGTCTCGGGAGAGCAGAGGTCCCGTGCCCTCCCCCGATCGGGCCATTCAGCCCTTGTGACGGACAATTTCAATTTGTCACGTCACAATATATATATATATATATATAAATATATACTATAATATGTATAATATA